CCCCCGCCAGCCGAGAGGACTTGGCCGGTGGGGCTGGGGTTGGTGGCCGTGCAGCGCCCCTCTGCCCCCCTCCCCGTGCTGCCCTAAGTACCCCGGGGAGCAAAGCACCGCGGTGGCTGCGTGTCCAGCGGGAGCTGCAGAAGGTGCTGGAGGATGGAGGGCGGGAGAGGGGATGCTGTGAGCAGGCAGTGGCGTGACAGTTGGGGCGTGGGAGATAAGATTGAAGCCAACAAAGCAAAGCCTTCAGAGCTTAATCTCTTTGGGAAAGGTGGGAGGCTGATAGGCAAAGCAGAGGCTGCTCCCCGGAGGAGGGGGGGGGCACTGGGTGGGAAATGCCTGTTTGGAGGAATGGGGAGCCACCAGGTAGCTGTGTCTGACACCACTGTGGGATCTGAGGGAAGGCAACTCCAGTTCCAAGGCCGATAGCTGGTGTGTGGAGGTAGATGGGCCCTCCCCAGGCGGGTCAGCACCCGCTGGGTGCAGCTGGTGGGACTTACTGGTGGCTTTCCAGTGCAGAAAGGCCAACCGAGGCTGCAGTCCCTCAAGCCCTCCCAGCAACGTGCATTGCAATGCTTGAAATCCCAGCAGCTGAGCAACTGGGAGGCGATGCGCTGCGGAGGTGCACGGGGCTGGACCTATCGCCAGCCCCCCACGAGCAGGTTCTTGGCTCCAGGAAAAGGCAGATTTGGGCAGGAAGGTTGCAAGCACAGCACGCTTGGCATCCTTTGCAGGACCAGGGGCATGGCTGGACTCGAACCTGTAGCACCCATGCAGCCGGGGAGGGATGTGGGTGCTTTCTGCTCTCAAAAACTCACCCAGTTCCTCTAAACCACAGTCAGTATCACCATCCCCTCACAGGCTGCTCTCACTGGTTACAGACCCATGCCCAACTGGTGACACTGGGGCCCGTCTCTGCTCATCTTGGCCGTACGTAGGCAGGGAGGAGCAGGGCTGAGCACCGCACCCCGGCTCCCTCCCCAAAACCCAGCACAGCAGCTCAGCCCCTTTGCTTTGGCTCCAGGCTACGGCTTGTGACTCGCATCCCCAAAGTATTTTTAGGCAGAAATCCACCAAGCGGGAGAGCTCTGGAGAGGATTTGGCCCCGCTCGCCCTGACTAAGCAGGTTTGCTTGGGCTCGGTGCCTGTGGGTGGATGTGCCTGTGGCCCGGAGAGGGGGGCCGGTGGTGGCCCCAGGACTGTGGCCCTGGGAAGGGAGGCCAGTGGTGGCCCCAGGACTGTGGCTGGTGGCCCTGGGACTGGCTGCATCCAGCCCAGGGCTGGTGCCCAGGATGGGAATGGCCATCAGCTGGCAGGTCACGGCCACAGCGGCGTCCCTTTGGTGCCGGGATGGGTCGTCCCGGCGGGCAGAACCAGGGCATGGGCTGGTGCTGATGGTCTTTTTGGGAGCCAGGGAAGAGCTTGGCTGCCCCAGGGCTTTCCCGCTGCAAACCTCACCACCCTAATGGGCTGTGACAATTTATGGGTGAAAAAATCCCAGTGCCACGGCCCTTAAACACGCCACGAGCTGGGGATTCATGGGTGGTGCGGCGGCCTCTGCTAATGGATTGAATAACCTGGCTGTCACCTTCGGGGAAAAAACTACCGCCCTTTCCTGGGTGAAATATCTACGTTGGTCTTTGGTGCTTAATCGTGATGGAGCCGGAGAGTGCTGAGCTGAAGCTCAGGGCTGGCTCAGCTCAGTCCAGCCCTCGTTTATGTTCTTAACACTTGAGCAGCCAAATGAAAAGCTTGGTCTGAAACGAAAATGCCAGAGGAGAGGTGTGGGTGAGGGATTTGGGAGTCACCAAAGCTCACCCAGGGGAGCAGGAGACCCTCTCAGTTGGGTTTCCTGGGCTGCCTCCTGTTGGAGGTGGGTTGGGGGTCCCTTCCCCGGTGCCCCCCACCTCCATCTGCCTCTGCCCCGCAGGGATGGACCTTTCGGCCAACCAAGATGAGGAGGGTGACCAGGAGACCTACCAGCTCGAGATCAACAAGGACACCAAGAAATGCGCCTTCAGGACCTACACTGGGAAGTACTGGACCCTCACCTCCAACGGGGGCATCCAGTCCACCGCCTCCACAAAGTGAGTCCCCTCTCCCCGGCGGCTGGGGGCTCTGCCTGGGCTTTGGGGACCTCTCTGCATCTCCCAGGGGGATCCAAGGGGGATTTTCCAGCCTAGGAGCTTGCCCCAAAACACTTCCCAGTGAAGGCAATGAATTCCCTGGAGCCGGGGCTGGGTCGGCCGCCCACGATGCTCGGGAAGTCCCTGGGGCCACGTAATCCTTCCCGGCTGGCTGGGGCTGTCGAAACGCTTTACCCTGCAGTTCAACCCTGCGCTAGCTGAGAGCCGGGCGGAAACCCCCAAAGTGCATTTGGCTGCCTGCCTGCCTCCTGCCTGCCTCCTGCCTGCCTCCTGCCTGCCTCCTGCCTGCCTCCTGCCTGCAACGGGGTACCAGGGTGGCAGCAGAGCTGTGCGGGC